TAAAATACTGGAAGTCTAATTTCATAGCCTTCCAAAAAGAATGGCAGAGTTAAAAGGGACATTTATAGGAAGCAAAAGATGAATGTAATCATTAAGGATGGCCACCAGCAAATAAACAATATCCACAGAAAGCAAGTTAGAAAGGCTAAACCAGCGAAGGAACTTAGGCTTCCAAGGGAAGCTAAAAGCAACAAAAGTGGCTTTTTCAGCTATGACAATAGTAAAAGAAAGAAAAAGGAATGAAGGAGTAGGAGTAGAACTGATAGGGAGAGAGCAGAGGCCTTCAGCTCCTAATTTGCTTTAGTCTTCTCCCAAAAAGCAAACCGCATTCAAATCAGAACTACTGACAAATAAAGGGAGTGGGAAACAAGTGTAAATAAAGATATGGTTAGGAAACACTAGCTACTATGGATGAGTTCATATCTCCAAAACAAAACCAATTACATCCAAAAGTTGCAGATGTCATCTTAGAATCCCTTTCAGTGATCTTTAATAAATCATGGCAGACGACTGGAGATGGGCAAATGTTGTTCTACTCTTCAAAAGAGGGGAAAAAATATAAGCCAGGTCAGCTTAACATTGGTACTCGGCAAAATTCAGAAACAAATTATTAAGAAATTGGTTGGTGAGCATTTAGAAAAGAATGCATTTCCTGGTAAGAGCCAGGAATAAATCATGCCATCCAACCTGATCTCTCTCTCTCTCTTTTAAATAGAGTGACCAGTTTAATTGACTGGGAAATGGAGTGGACAAAGTATTTTTTAATTTTTTCTGAATAATAATGGTTTTTTATATGTTTTATAGTTTTATTGTATGTCATCCAGAGTCACTTTTTCATGAGATGGGCAGCCATATAAATTTATTTGATTGACTGATTGATTGATTGATTGATTGATTGACAGATAGATAGATAGATAGATAGATAGATAGATAGATAGATAGTTCAGCAAGCATTTGATAAAGTCTGGGGTTTCTACTAGAAAGACAGCCTCATGTGGGTTGCCTTAGATGGATTCAAAATTGTTTGAACAAACATGTAAGTGTAGGTCAAAGATTTCATGACAAGCTGGAGGGAAGTGTCAAGAGGTGAACTGCTAGGTTCTGTTCTAGATCTTATGATGTTCAACATATTTATCAATGACCTGGATGAAGGTTTGGAAATATTATTACCATATTGACAGATCACACAAAGATAGGGGAAATGGAAAACACCTTAGAAGGCAGTATCAAGTTACAGGAAAAACCTTGAAAGGTGGGAACAACAGGCAGAAATCAGTCCACTGTTGAATTTGGTAAGGACAAATGTGATGTCTAACATTTGGGTAGAGAAAAGCAGAAGCATGAATGTATGACGGGGAACCAACATGCAAAAAAGGATCTGAGTGATTTTTTGTTCAACAGGAGCCAACAGTGTGATGCAAATGCTAAAAAAGCAAATGCATTTCTAGGTTGCATCCACAGAAATATGGTGTTAAAATCAAGATATGTCCACTGGTCAGATCACACCTATATTGCATTGAGTTCTGGGCATCTCATTTTAAAAAAGACATTGATGAGCTGGAATATGTCCAGAGGACATAACCAAGATGCTAAGGGACCTTGAAGGAAAAACATGAGTGTTTGGGTATGTTGGGCATGTTTAGTCTGGAGAAGATGTGGTATCTACTGGGCTATAACTGAAGCATTTGAAAGAATGTCATGTAGAAGACAGAGTAGAATTGCTCAGAGTTGTTCTACCAAACAGGAGGAAAAAAAGTGAGCTTAAATTACAGCACAACTGATTTCAGCGGGACATCAGGAAAAATATTCCTAAGGGGAAAAGCTATTTAACAATGGAACAGACTGCCTTGGAAGGGGTGAAATTTTCTTCACTGGAACTAGTTGACTATTTGCTGAAGATGCTGAAATAGTGGATTCTCTGGAAAGGTGTTGGATGAAATAATCTCCAAAATCTCTTACATTCCATATTATATAATTCAAAGCAGTCTGTGCCTAATCCCTAAAAAGAAGGGATACTCCAGATACTGAACTACTAGTCCCAGCCAACATGGAAAATTGTTACAAATAGTGGAAATTATACTTCCACAACATCTAGAAGGTTCAAAGTTTTCATATCTGCCTTCAAACATGGTTTCAGCTGCATATTTAAATGCATTACTTATTTTTATTTGTTGGATTTATATCCTGTCTTTTCTTCAAGGGGTGAATTTGAACTAGAGTTTCCTCATCCAATCCAATTAAGTGGTTAAGGTAATCCAATACCTTAACCACTTAACAATTAGTTCTCACCTAGACTCAGAAACATCCCAAAATCATCCCTTAGTCCTCTTGAGCCAGACCTTATCCTTTTTTTTTATGTAATAAAAAGAGTACATAATCAGAGATCAATGGACAACAGCTAACAAGTTTTGGATATCTAATTACTGCAAAAATACTATTCCTATAGATCGACTCTGACCCTTTTCTTATAATTACCAGTATGAATTCAAAGTTAAAACATTTTTCATCAAAGAAGGAAATCTCTAAGATTTTTTATTGGTCAATTATCTCAGTATTTAACTAAAAAGGGGAATTAAATAATCTGTTTTGTACTTCTAGAGGTCATGTTATGCCAGACATAGAAAATAAGTTCTTCTGGTTTTCCTAACATTCAGTTGGCATTTGCCTTCCTGGAATTTAAATCCATTATTCTGTGTCCTGTATCCTGAAACACATGAAAAACAAATCTTAATTTTATCAGACCAGATTCAGCTAGTCTGAAGTTTCAACTGTCTGAACTGGCCCTTCTCAAACTTTTTACCCTAGAGCAGGGTTCCCTAAAGTGGTGAATATCAACCCTAAGGGTCAGTGGGACTATCCATTAATATTGTGGTTGTTGTTGTTATTCATACTATAAATTATGTTAAAATAAATGTTCATATAATAAATGTTTGGGGGTCAATGAACAATCTGAAACTTCATGAAGGGCTCAATGAGCTGAAGAGTTTGGGGACCCTGCCCTAGAGGAACCTTTGAAATAATTTTCTGGTCTCAGGGGATCCCTGCATAAAAATTGTGAAAAATATGAAAACTTTGCATACAGTTCACTCCCAATCTACAATGTTTACAACAGCAGCAAAGCAATAGGCTGGCAGGTGAGCCACAGCATGTAAAAATTCCCATCACTGCTAGTGCTAGCTTTATGTAGCGTACAAGTTCAAAAAAACATTTTTTTTTCAATCACAATATTTTGCAGAACTCCTAGAGATGTCTCATGGAACCATAGATTTCCACAGTAACTCAGCTGAGAAAGGCTGATCTAGACAATATGTTCCTCTGTTACATTTATAAAAGACTGCAACAGAGAAACAAACCGAGTTTCTGGTACTAAGGCTTCTTCCTAGCTCCAATAATCTAAATATTGAAGTACTTTATTATTAATTAATAGGGCACAACTTTTGGAGGGCAAGGCCCATACTAGGCTTTAAGTAGGTAGAATAAGGATAAAAAAATTAAATGTAATTTAATATAATGTAAAATTTTCACTTAAAATTAATCTCAATCAAGTGCAATTAATATATTTTCTCATGCGTTAAGTAATTATCTACTTTACTGAAATTTAAATATATGCATGTTTGTATGTATGTATGTATGTATGTATGTATGTCATGGCAACTTTTGAAGGAGTACTGATTTTACACCCAAGGTGGACCCACGTAACTCTAGGACCATAGATTCCTGCATTAGAATTAGAAATATCATGAATAAAACCAGAAGAGAGCAGGAGATTTATGGCTCAAGAAGCAAAAATGTCAAGTTCTTTTAAAGGAACCACAGGATAAGAGGACTGAACTATAATGCTATTGTTACAGAATAGGAATTCTCCCTTCCTAGCTCCATTCTTTTTCTATAAATAATTCTTATTCTCTCCACTCACTGTTTGTTCAGGGGGTGAGGGGCTGCCAGACTTTGCATATCACTAACTGTTTTCTAATAGAACAAATAAGCATTGGAAGTAGTAATTTACATCAGGAAATAGTGTAAAAAATAACCTATTCCTCCATTCTTTAGTATTACATTCCAAGTATTCCCCCCTCAATAAATAACTGGAAATTGGGGACGGAGGGGTGAGACAGATATAATAAAAAAGGGATAACAATATCTACAGACATGGATCTCCAATGTTCCACTAGTTTGGCTGCACCAGAAACTCCTAATTTTAGATTCAGTGTTATTTTGTTTTCATAGCCAGAATCCAAAGAACATATTCTGTGAGTAACTTACTCTGTTTGCTTTTTTTATCTCCACCCCTTAGAACAGAAAAAGTAGTTTAAAAACCTAAATTAATTTCAAGAGTAGTTTGCAATATGACATCTGTTGCTGCTGTTCCATTAAAAAAAGATAATAAACAATTTCACCAAGGTAGCCCAGTTCCTTCACGTGAGCTTCAGCAGTATTTTTGAACATGAGTCTTTGTTTTTATGTACAAGCATGGCTAATGTAGACAAGATTTTATGCTTCTATTTAGAAAAGGAAAGAGCTCACAGCAATGGAATAAACAGCATTTGCAATTATTGTGCGTACAATATAAAGAAGGCATCTTTCATTAACATTTTGGCATCTTCCAAAATTGGTAATTATAATTGTCATGAACATACACTGAGCTGCTGTATGCTATTAACAAAAGCTATTCTGTTGAATGGGCTTTAAAAAAAATAGTAATGTAGATATTCTCATGTTGTATAAAAGTAGATAGCCACAGTGAATATTCTTTTTATTTAAGTTATCTATTAGTTATCTGTCAAAGCCAACTGAATGTTGGACTTTTGGAAGCACAGACAATGACAGATACAAATTAAATATAAGGGGAAGAAAAACACATGTGAGAAAGATGCTTCCATATGCTCGTTTTCCAGTATTTGCATTCTTTCACAGGTTTGCATCCCTATGAGTATCACATTTTAACAGGGCTTTATTTTATAAACTTTCTTGACAAAGCAAGTATTTATTGGATAACTTACTCATTAAAGACCAAGTCAGGAGCAAAATAAAGAAACTGGCTGTTTGTATGTCTATATGATCTCCAGCTCAAGGCAAATGAGGATAAACACATCCAAGAATACTGTATTAAAGTGATTTGGTCCTCAAGAGGCAAGTTTCTAAATCCTGAAGAGAAAAAGAAAATAAGGATTACTAAATCTTTAGCAGCAAAAGAACTCCTTAATCCACACACAGAGACAACCAAACACTTGTAGGCTTAGGCCTGTCAGGAACCCTGAATTCTAATTTAAAAACTTTATCCTATTGATGTGCAAAACATTCCCTGCGTGAACTCTCCTATGCATGGAACAATTAATTTGAAGTGCTCTGTGTCTGGACTGAAACACCTATGTTTGAGGCAGACATATTTGGGGGAAGATCAGGAATAAGCTAGGAAGATTGGTGATACAGCACAACTAAAGAAAGGTAAGAAAGGGAAAGCACTGAAAAGATATGGGGAGGGGCAGGCAGGTCAGTTGGATATGTGGTGCTGGAACCCAAGCCATAACCACTATTGATGCCCTTGGTTTTATCCACAACATCCAACATCAATCCTCTCTTGATCTTCTCAGTGTCTTCCTTTCCATACTACCCCTTAGCCACCACCAATGTTCTTGGAATAAGGAAAAGAAAATGCAATAAAAATAGTCAGTGTGTTTCTGACTGGAAATTCCATACCTGAAGCCAAAAATATTGGCAGCATTGTGTGAAGGATAAGGGGAGGAAGGGAAAGAAAGACACTAAGGCAGGTTGTTGGACTGGCCATACAATGGTGGAGGGAAGAAAGTGGAAAGGTGTAGTAGCTTTGCTTTACTCTGCCATGTGAGACCCCTCTGCATTTGTTTTTGCTAAAAAGTGTAACAAACAAAATGTTCCGAGTTTTAGTTCTGCTGAACTGCAGCTGACAGAGAAGGATTTAGCAGAATTTAGGAAATACAATGTGTTCAATTTGGATTTTAAAAAAGCACGCACACCACATTTCCTATTTCATGCACACTGCTACTTCACCTCCTAAAACTAGGTATGGAAAATACTTCGTAGTTTTTTAGTGGTAAGGGAAACCCGATCCGCATATCAAATCAGTACACCATTATTTCTCAGATTTCATGGCAAACTTTGGCTTCTGAAACAGATCCCAGGTTAGTAATATTATGACCTCTATTTCAGGATAAGGCCTGAAAACTGGTGATCATGCTCAAACACACATGAAAATATAAGACCTATCTTCTAGAGACAGACACTATATTCTTTTATTCTAAGAAGGGCCTGTTCACTGCTATATTTTCATGTGTTCTAAACAAATACTAACTTGAATTTTGGAAATACTCTCAGCGTATATTTATATTGAGGGATGCAAGTAGTATCATACATCATGAACTAATGTATCCTTTTTAAACCTCCAGATATTTTTAGATTATACCTCCCAGAATGCCCTTGGCTAAACATTCGGGGAATTTTGGAGCCCCAACCTATATGGAGGGAAGCTACAAATTATTTCTAATGACAACTGATGAACTTATTCTTGATGAAAAAGATGTTCTATCACATTATTTTGAGTAAAGCATATCTTAAACCCACAATGTCTATATTAAAAGTAAGGGTAGTCTTACAAGGTTTCATTACCTGGGAGGATCTTTGCCCATTTTACCACCTGAATCATCTGCTTGCCAGCGAGACGATTTAAAGTGGAGAGCAGGTGTTCAGCTGTATCTGGCTTTGAGCTATCATAACCCGCATATACAATTTCAGGTTCAATGTTCTCTAGAACCATAGCAGGTGAGGGGGTAAGTGCTGGTGAAACTGCAGATAAGTGAGGAACAAGTGCTGTGTTTACAGAAGGTTCTTTTGCTGGAGCAATATACGTCATCCCCTCTTCTGGGCTTTGTGGTGGCTGTGGCTGCTGCTGCTGCTGCGGTGGCGGCTCTTCGTGGATTCCTTTTAACTTGCCCAACTTTTTCGACTTCCGGGCTGTAGCAGAGAGGATTCATTAAATGGGGTAAGAATGTAATTGTTTGCACACAATACCGGAATCTAAACTATCCATCTTTTTTTTCCACTAAGTAAAACACAAATGGCACTTGGCAAAACCAGATCAGTAACACAAAACAGGAAAGTGAGTATTTAAAAATGTGTTCTGAAGCAGTAAATTGCACACGGATGAAAGCAAATTATAACAGTATTTCTCAAATACATCTTGCTATATAACTCACATGGATTCAGCAAAGCATGATTTTTTTCTTAAATGCATATTGCCATCATAAGCCATTTAAAGTTTCCCTTTATTAACTGAATCACTTAATACTTTTGTCACTCTTTTGTTTTATTCCCAACTAAGCCTTTTCCCCACTGGTTTCGAAATTGCACTGTATGATTCCTTTAAAATGATTAAAAGAAATACTGTTAAGTGCAGCAACTCAAGTAACAGATACCAAAGGTTATATTTTAGTTATATAATTGACTTTCCTTATCTTCCTGATATCATTAGTAAGCAACCCGGGTTGCAGACTAAGAACTTTCAACCATTTTTCCCCTAAACAAAGTCTCACACGTTCTGCAAAATATTACTGTAGAGTGCAGACCAATCCACTTCCATAACTGCCTTTTCTTTTCCTGAATGGCAGACAAGTCTGTATTGTGGCTTAATACAGCTTAATTACAATAATCCAGATACACAGATAATAAACATGCTTTTTTGCACTATCATATAAATTTATATTTTATGAATTTTAAAAAATTTCTTATCTACTGTACATACTATTCTTCATGGTATAAACTCCATAGACATGCATTTATCTTAATTTTATCAATTTGAAGAAACGTTTAAAACTGATTTATTAAAGCATTTCTAAGTTCCCCTTAAAGAAAAAACTTCCTAAAGGAAGCATTTTTTTCTGGACAGACACGATACAGTGAAAAGAACAGGGTTTTTTTTTCTTGCAGCTTAATTGGTTTGGTGTTACTAATGACAGCTATAACAGATCTAATACAAATCTCTTAATAACTTTGCATAAACATTCAAAGCATATTTTGTAAAATTGTTCTTGTTCACTGTCACTGATAGTGAAAAGAAGTTTAATATTTAAATTCCAAGATAGAATTTAAGATAGAAACCTCTCTTGTATTTTGCAAAATTCCATATATGCTGGTCTCTGACTCCATGTCCCCCACTTCACAAAGATGTCTCTCTTTGTACAGTTTTACTAAATTTCCAACATTCTAAGCTCAACAATTGTTTTTTCTATTAAGTTTTTAGACAGCAAATCAGTATTCTATAGTAATGATGCTTCTGTAGTAGAAGATATGATGCTTCATTTAGGCTACAATTCTTTACCTACTGACCTGTAATCTGATTGTCATTGAATAAATAATATATTAGTTGGACTGGAAAACTAACAAAGTTATCTCCCTTCCTCTAAATCAAATTATTCACAAGCTCCTAAAAAGGTAGTGTGTGAAAATTCATAATGTAATGAATTTTTACAATTTTGCTTTCCAAGGCAGACAAGGGCAAACTGTATCATTAAAGAACATCAATTCTATCAGGAAAGTCACAAAGCTGTATGAAGTTTCTATTACTTCAGTGAATTTTTAATGTAACATACTGGAGATTAAGAACAAGAATTTCAAAACATTTTATGACAAAGGCATAATCAATTATTTTATCTCTCAAGACCTGATATATTTCTATTGTCAGAATTTGTGAAATATGCAAATCATGCTCTGTATGGATGCATTATTAATATTTCTCAATTTTAAAAGATCTACCATATTCATCTTTAAAAGACAACTTAATAGAAATGTAGGACCACCAAAATAATTACGCATTAAAGCTATGAAATAGAAATTGATTACTTCATGTATAAATACTTTGAAATCAAACTTGATTGTTATTCTGTGTTGCTATTGTAAGATATATACGGTCTGTTGTATATCTTTGGTTAGAAATATGTAAAAGCACATAACAAAACATGTTTCTAAGAGAAACATTAAAAATGCACCTTTTGCTATGTGTACTAATTAAAAACAGTAACTTTTGCAATGGGCCCAGATGTGCTTAAACTGGTTTCTGAAAGGTACAGGCGTAATCACAAAACCAGTAAGTTCTCCTTTAGCACATCATGCTACATGTAAAGCAGCTCAATTTTTGAACTTTACAACAGCTGCCTTACAGGGCACATTTACCTCATTCATGCATTAGCAATAGTTCCCACAACCTAGGACATCAACTAGACATTTGGGTATTCAGCATAAATTTCTGCATAACATTCATTGTGTTGATCATTCCAATTTTATATCTGGATGGTGCTAATGTGGGTCTCCATTATGCGTGTACACAATAGCACAACAGAAGGAATTTTTAAAAGGTAAGAGTACAAATACAGAGAAGATGATGTGGTGACATCATGTGGCTTTGTTTGCAAACAGGAAGTGTGCTATTTCTGTTTAGCAATGCAGCCCTGTTGGTACCCAATGAAATGGACTGCATATGCAAAACTGCTAGTACCACAGAGTTGCCAAAGTTAAAAGTCCATTATGTCACTGAGTTAAGACAGATAAAAACTGACAATATCCAAAACATTTCATTATTTATTAGATCATTACTTTCTGCAGAATCAGTTTGGGTACAATTAAACTGATGACATATGAACTTGGAATGTGAAGTGAAGACATTAATGAAATGGAGAAGCAGTTAAGGACAAAAGCTTTGAAGTCAGACATGATGAATAATGATCCCTGGAGATGCTGCAAAAAATAAGAACCAACATGGAAGGCCTTGATATTGTGGGGAAAGGAAATGGAAAATCATTAAAATAAAAGTATAGCCTTAATTGAATTAAAACTTTTGTGGCTGGTAGGGAGGTGCATTGTCTTGTCCTTTTCCTTAAGCAGCAAAGCATTTTGAACTGATCCTGTTTCTGCTCTACATGGACAAAAGAAAGTGCTTTTTCACACAACAAAAGTCACACTCCACAGCAGAATGTATGATGATTGTTGGACTTACAGGAGAATTGCTTTGATTCACAGAGAATAAGGCTTTTAACAGCTACTGTTATCATGGCTATATATTTATACAGATACATTGCCTCTAGAAAAATAGCTGCCTGGGAACACAAATAGAAGTGCCTTGTCAGTCTACTATAGACATTTAGAGGGCCATTTTGAGAATACAGCAAAGAAACAGAAATGATGCAGAAATAAACACATGGCTCCATGGCTTGTCAGTATTAAATCTAATTCCCTTGTTACTTCACTATTAAAGATTACAGCTACTATGCAGTGCACAGTCTCTGTCTTAGGTGTTGCTTGATTTAAAAATACTGAGAATATCTATAAGCCAAAGTACATGAGACTAGAGGGAATCCATTTTAAATGACCACTTTGAAGATAAATAACTAAATCAGTGGTCACTGTTTTTTGAAGACAAATTTTACAGATTCCAACATGAAACCTACAATAATATTCAGGTAGGTAGGTAGGTAGGTAGGTAGACAGAATGTGTCTGTTCAGTCTGTCTGTCTTTCTATCAAGCACATGCAACTAAATACATCATGTATTTACAAAAAGAACATTGCCATCAAAACAAATAATTTATCTGAGTTGAAGTAATGAAATCACACATTACTGAGGAAGGACAAGGGTTAATTAATGAAAACAAAGGAAGTTTACAATAAAAATTGTTCGTTTCCTCTGCAAAGAAGACAAACACAAGAGTATCATTTAGTGGATCAGAATAACGTCCACAAGCAAACAAGCTTTTTTGCACTAGAGGAAGTCAGAAACGGTTTGCTGGCCTTTGCAGATGAAGCAGGTTCTAAGTATTTAAGAAAAATAAATAAATGTGTAGAATGGGAAACAAGACAGAGATGATACAATTATACCCTAATAGAAAACAAAGGTATTGTAACCAAATACTTACTTCTATGAGGAAATGAGCCAAATGTATGCAAATCAGACTTATTAGTTCATAAAGTACTTTGTCCACTAAGAGTAAAAATCAAGGATGTGACAGAACAACTTCCAAGACTTATCAAGTCCACTGACAGTTATCTTTTCCTGTTAATACATATGGGGAGAAATGATATTTCAAACACCAACTAAAAGTGTATCACTGCAAACTTTGAAAATGTTGGAAAGAATTGGGACATGACACTCATCCATTCTTCCAATTCATGGAAAAGGACTGGAAAAAGAAAGGAAAAATACTGAAAATGACAAGCATTGCAAATGGGGTTGATAGCAGAGATTTGTTTTCTGGGACTATGGCTGAGTTATCCAGATGATGGAAACGGGATAAAATGTGTCAGTATATAAGTGTTGTAATAAATAAAAAAAAATAAACAAGATGAGCTTGAACTCTTAGTACAAAAGGAGAAATATGATTTAATAGATATAATAGAGACTAAGAGTAATGACTTTGATTACTGCAATAGAGCAACTGAAAAATTCAATTTGTTCAAAAGTAACTGAAGCAGTAGAAAGAAGGAAATATTTCCACTATATGTTAAAAATATCCAATTCTGTTCAGAAAGCCCAAAGAATGAATTTGGCAATGCTGTAGAGAGTATCTGGGTTAAAATAAGTGGAACAAATAAAAGCCATATTGTTGTTCATGTCTATTCTCATCTTCTATCCAGGGAGATCATATCAATGATGCCTTCCAAAAAGAAACTGCAGATCTTTTAAAGAGGCATTATGTTGTAGCGATGAGAAACACTGATTAACTCAAAATTTGTTAGGAGAAAAACTCAGTCAAGGATGGTTCTTCCAGCAAATTCTGCACTGGTCCTGCTGACAACATTCTCTTCCAGACAAGTAGAGGAAGACACAAGAGGATGAGCTAATCTGGACTTGGTACTAACCATAAAGAAGACTTAGCAGAGGAAATGAAAGTAGCAAGACCATGCAATGTTGGAACATTTGATTTTAAAAGAAACTAAAACATAATCAAATATGTATCTTGGACTTAGTAAAGCAGATTTTAATAAACTCTGAGCCATGTTAAATAGGACCCCACAGCAGGAAAAAATAATGGGAAAAAGAACTCAGGATCCATTACAGTTCCTCAAGAAAGAAATAGTAGTAAATAGTCAAACCACAATTACGTACGATCCCAATGCAGAGAAAAAAATGGAGGACCAAAAAAGAACCCAAAGTGACTATATAGAAACATTGAAAAGAAGACAAATAGAAGAAATGGAAAGGGGACCAAATCAGAAAGGAAGAATACAGGTAGGTAGGACAGTACTGTAGAGATACCTGTTAATCAGACAACTTTCATAATGTAGTATGTGATTTCTATAGACATAGTACAAATAAAACATTTGATGAAGTACTTCATGACATACTGATGAGCAAGCTATGTAACTGTGAACCATATGGTATGACAATTAAGTGGATACATATTTAGTTTAAAAGCCCTTCTCCATGGATTCTCATCAAATAAAGAGAACTATCAAATGGAATGGCTTAATGGTCATTGCTGTATAATTTCAATAATGACTTGAATGAAGAAGTGGAAAGACTGCTCATCTACTTTGCAAAAATTAAATGAAATAGTGGAGTAAGAAATAAAATTCATAATGATCTTGATAGGTTCAAGAAATGGACTGGTTAGGAAAAATAAATTTGAGGTTTCATCAAGCAGTTGTATAATAATCCAAATCTTGGGAAATAATTGCTTCACTTTATTTTACCTTGCTCAAAGTTTATTGGCACCAAGCACCATGCTCTAAAAGAAAGAAAGATTCAAAGAAATTGAAAAGAGCAGTGGGGATGATAAGGGAGCAGAAGCTGATCTATGAAGAGGAACTGAAGGAGCTGAGTATGCTTCACCTTAGGAAAAGATAAGTGAGGGTAGATATAATAGCACTCTTCAAATATATGAAAGGGTGTTGCATAAAAGAAGATCAAGGCCTGTTTTCTCTTGTTCCAGAGTGCAGACCATGCAAAACAGATTTAAGTTCTTGGAAGATAAGTTCCTGTTAAATGTTACCAAAAAGTTCCTAATGGTAAGAGCTGTTCAACAGCATAACCAATTGCCCAGAGAAGTGATGGGCTCCCCTTCAGAGGATATCTTCAAGCAGAGGCGAGGGGGTCATCTCTCGGAGACCTTTTCATTTGGATTCCTGCATTGAGCAGGGAAGTAGACTCAGTGACCTAAATGGTCCCTTCTAACTTTATGATTCCAAAATTTATTTTTATTATTATTATTTTACCAACATGAAAAATTAACGTAACCTTTGACTATATGTCAGCCTGCTTTTACATTATAGAAGCTCATTTTATTTGATGAAAACTAAACATAAATGTAGATCTTTGCATGCACCATTACCCATTAAATCTCGAAATAATATTATGCCTTAATTCAATTAATCTGTATGATGAAATAAATCAACTGATTAATCAGACTCATATTCATGTGAATTAAATATATAAATAATTGCTAAAAGTAACCAATTTTATGTACCAGCATGCTGTGCCAATGTCTAGAAATACACTTTTAAATTATTTAAGCAAAGATTTTTGAATTGTAGAATCATATCCCAACTCAGCAAAACAAACAAATATTTTTTTTTACATCAACCTTCATCCCACTTTCATGTTCCGACAGTATTCTCTAGCTAGCATATGCACTGTCAGCCAACTCTCCTGCTAATTTTGTTCAAACAACTTTGTCTCAACCAGAGCCAAGACTGGTCCATTCTCTTTTCAACTTTCCCTCTTGTTGCTTCCACACCCAACTGTTCCCTTTGGCTGACCTTTACAAGTCCTAGAAACCAATCCCTATTTTTCATTCTAGCCTCAAGATTCTCTCGTTCCACTCCTTGATTCCGTCCTCTGTTACTGAAGAGTAACTTTTCTTGTTTTCTTTTTCTATTCTACAATAATAATTATTCTTCTACCCATTTCAGCCAACTATAGCTTAAGTCCATTACAGCTTCTCATGTCTGAGTGATATATAATAAGCACACTTTGTAGGAAATGCAAACAAAATATTTTTGTTATTTGAGCTAAAAGAAACTTTTACAAAAGTTCACTTGTATTACAGTTGTATATGCAGTTGTATAACCACTTACTATTACAGTTACCATTTCTGTGCTGCAAAAATATAGATTACAGTTATGTGGCACAAAGAGATATAAAAATGGTAATTATTTGCTGTCAACTAGAGCCCTTGTGATCATCTGGAATTCTGTAACACCGATATAGTAGCATTATTCATTGCAGTTTTTGTGCCAGACTCAAAAAACACTCCAGAAACTTCATTATTTGAGTGACAAGCTGAGAAGAAAGCACTATAGATTTGGGGAAAAAATCAGCTACTCTATGGGGCAAAATGAAAGAAAGAAAGAAAAAGATATCTGAATGAACTGCCAAAGAAATGGAGAGATGTCTACCTGTTCCTGTGATGTGCTACACTGAAATATCATTGCACAGGAACAGACAAATGCAACTTTGTTGAAGAGACGCATGAAATCAATATGTGTAATTTCATGTAATACAGATATAGTCGGTATTTACATCAATTTGGGTAGCTGCTCTTCATGGTAATGTAGGAAGAGAACCATGTCAATCTATGATGGCAAAAAATCAGGATTCTGGGAGCACCTTTTCTGACTAGCAAATTTTATTAAAAGAGAGAAGCTTTCATGAGCTTTTGGTGAAGCCAGTTGCAGTTCATGAAAGGTTAGGCCTTTTAATAAAATGTGTGAGTTAGAAAGGTGCTACCAGAATCCTGCTGATTCTCCATCCTTCATGGAGGTCTGTGGGAAGCAACTAAGAAAACATGTAGCATGATGCAAACTCCACCTCTTTTGTATATATGACACAATATCTCATGCACATATGCACGACAACGTTACAATGTAAGTTTGATCACTCAGATGAAACTTCTGGATTCAACTGCTGCTCTCCTTTTAATGAGCAACATACTTTTTTCCTTTCTTCCCCTCTTCTGAGGGATACCTAGAGTAAAATTATACGGCCCAAACAGAAAAGATTCAGAAGTGGGGGCATTTTGTACTCTGAAGATTTCCAATTTCATAACTTTTTTTTTTCTGTGCAAAACTTTAGTTTTCCAGTTCACTTTTAAACAGATATGTGACTATAAATTATACTTTGTAGTTAAGAGGATAAATATGAAATAATATCATTAAAATACTGTCATCCTAATTATGCAATTAAGTTATACATTTTTCCATATTTTTACTATAATTAATTTTTTGCTAGGCTGTAAAATAGCAGGAAATCTGGCAGATAACACATAGCTTTCCTTTGGTTAAATCTGTTTTGATATTTTACTGGAATGTTCTCACAGCACTACCACGAAAAACAAAACTAGAAAAAAATCCCTCCAACCGTGCCCAATCCCAATACTTCAATCCAATTAGTTGTCTGATACTCCACTAAAATTACAGTCATCTTCTAACTCCCACTTTCCTTATTCTGAACTATAATTTCTTTTTTAAAAATTAGAATGACAATAGGATTTTATGAGCTTTTGTAAAATGTCTCTTTCTCAGTAGAGTAATTCAGGATAGAGCTTACAAGATCATCCATCTAATATTGGCTTAAAAACAATCAGGTGTAACATATTTTTGCCAAATAAAAAGAAAACTTGATATCTACTCATGATTTACTTACCTCCCAAATTCATTCCAGCTTGAAGACACTTCTGTAATCTGCAAGCTGGACAGTTTTTTCTTCGAATTTTATCAATTATACAGTCATTCCGTCCTGCACATAAATAATTGTGCTGCCCTGCAATAAACAAAACACAAAACATAATAAATTCTATTTTAACCATTTACAGGTAAATAAACCATCCACAACACAGATTCACAGCTCTAAATGTGAAAAAAAAACTCCTCCCCCAACTTTTATAACTTTTATTATTTTTACATCTGCCAGAGCAGTTTAAAATAACTGCTCATAACAATTTTGAAAACACACATTCAAAAAAAACATAAAACATAAAACACACCCATATCCACATATTTAAAATCAGTAGAGTAAACTAAAGGGTGAAACATTATTTACTTCTTAGGTAAAGTATTCCTGATGGAATTTCATAAAATTCAACAATTTATTGTGGTGTGAACTTCGATAAACTCAAGTTCATTCAGATCACTGTGTGTTACCTTGAAGCAACTATCGCAAATACAGGTGGCTGAAGAGGAATAAAAGGTTCAAGCTATAGTTTTGTATGGTAAAGACAGTCAAACATTAAATCCTGTTAAAAACCAAGTGAAGCTGAAGCATGCATTAAATAAGAATAGCCATGATTGTATAGAAAAGCCTTCAAGTCTGTCAACCATATCAAGCTATGGAACGTGTTTATTAAAATGGGAATCCAAGAACATCTCATTGTCCTCATGCAAACCCATATACAGGTCATGAAGCCACAGTATGCACAGAACAGGGTGAAACAATTTGGCTCCAAGTTGGCAAATGAGTGAGCCAAGTCTTTATACTCTCTCCTTATTTATTCAACTTGTTTTATTTATTTATTTATATTATATGCTAAATATGTATTGAGAGATTGGGAGAAAATGGGCATGGTTTTAAAGTTGGAGAAAAAAACATAAATAACTTGCACAAGGTTGATACGACTTTGATAGATGAAAATGCAAACGATCTGCAAGCTCTAGTAATGAAAGTCAAGCAGCATTGTGAAAAATTGAAATACCAAGAAGACCAAACTAATGACAACAGGTACAACAACCAGCCTTAAAATTGATAATGAAGTGGTAGATAGCTTTTGCGTTTTAGGCTCAACCATCAGCCATAGATAAACAAGCAGTCGAGAAATATACCACAGACTAGCTCTTGGTCCAGCAGCCAAGAAGGCCTATGAAAGATACAACAATCAGAATAGTCCAAGAAATGGATTCCCTGTGACGCTCTATGGAAGTAAAAATTGAACTTTGCAGAATAGAAAAAGTACAGATGCTTTTGAACATTGGTGTTGGAGAAGAATCTTGAGAATACCATGTATACCCAAGAAACCAAACCAACGGATAATTGAACAAATCAACCTAGAGTTCTCACTTCAGGCGCAAATGTCCAGGCTCAAATTATCATACAGGTAGTCCCTGTTGAGCAACTGCCTTGGACAGTGACCATTTGCAGTTACGATGCTGATGAAAAAGTAACTCTGCGACCAATGCCTGCATTTACAAACTTTACAGCATTTCTCTATCAGTCATGAGCTTGCCATTACAGTCAGTTAGTACAGGTTGTATGCAATTGGTTCTGGCGACTTAGTCATTAAGCAAAGTAGTCGCTAAGTGAAAATCACATGATTATGACTGTGCTTACAATTTTACTTCAGCTTTCCTTTGCTTTACAGCGTCAGAAGGATATGACCCCAAACAGTCAGGTAAGCCCAAACGATGGGAAAGGTTTCTGGAACTTGTCTTGTGAGGCAGCCGGGTAAAAGGGCAAATGTTATAGCCCTTTTTCCCCACTCCCCTGCCCTTAGGAATGCTCACCCCAGTGCTGGGATAATTAGGAAGAAGGAAATTGATGTTTGTATTTACATTCAATGGAGAGGAAGGGTTTACAATAAAGTAAGTAGGCACACAATGGGGAATGCACATCGAAAGGAATGAGCTAGCACTAGCTATTTGCCTAGTGCACTTGCGGCTGCAAGCTGCAGGCCACTTAGGATGCAAACAAAAGCCTTTAGTGTGAAACTGATTAAGGTCTTGTCAGTGTCAGGCAGCAGCTGTAAGCCAGCCAGCCAGAGAGTTATAAGCAACTAATTAAGGTCACAGAGCTGAGCTTGTTAACTTGCAGTTAGTGCTTTTTAGGACTCTCCTGCACTGCAGAGAAAAGCAGCTCAGGAAAAGATAGCTTGTTTAGGCAATCACTTCACTCTGCAAGGGGAGGAAAAAGGGGGAAAAAAGGGTCAGGCACAGGGCAATGCATATTAGCTGACTGTAATGGTGAACACATGACAGAGAGAAAGAGAGAGAGAGAGACGCTGAGAAGGTTGCAAATGTAGGCATTGGTTACAAAGTTACTTTTTCATCACTGTTGTAACTGCAACGGTCACTGTCTGAGGCAGTCGCTAAATGAGGACTGTTCCATAGCATTCTATGGAAAAGAAGGAAAGATTATTTTTGCTAATTTGTCTGTCCTTCTGTAGCTCCCTGTAGCTTTTCTACAAAGAAAAGGAGTCAAATTTGTTGAAAATACGTTCTTGATGCAACTTTCTGAATATACTCTGATTGGATCTCAACTGGATTTGATTAATATGGAAAGCAACTGCATTTGCACCTTGATGTTTGTAACATTAAATCGGATATATTACCTCAATAAGAATTTAGAAGCCTAAGTGTAAGCCTAGCATTTATATTTGCTACTCTATTTTCCTTCCAGCAGCATATGCACTGGGGGTAAAAAAAAAGTTAAGATGACAATCACAAATGCACAATCAAAGCCCCACCCCTTTGTATGTGCATGCGATGTTCAAATTATGGGTGTAATGAGGAAGTAGAGAAACTTAAAAAGTGTACCTCTTTCATCACACTACAACTTAACAGTTATACAGTCTAAATAAATAATAAGACAATAAACTGGAACAGACAAAGCCAACATTCCTCACAATATATAGAGCTATTTTATGTTCAAAGATGGAAGGTTCTGATAACATTTTAAGAGAAAATAAAATTTTGAAATAGTTTTTAAAGTACTATGTGAGGGCATGAGCGTAGTAACCCTTTTTTTTAGAAAGTCTGATACAGAGTGCAGAAGTTGCAATATGATTAGCATAATGATCATATGTATGTTTTCATAAGAATGTTATTCAAACAGAAAGCTTTAATAGTCATGAATGTGATTAGTCAATCTTATTTTAATCAAACGATCAAGCATAAGTAAAAGGGGAAAAAAGCAATGTTCAGACTTGCATCAGCTGTTGCCTCTTCACTGCAAGAACTCAAGCTTGAGCTACTGTAAAAGTGATAAATAAATTTGTATCTTAGAGAACAAGGTTCACATAATAATTATATATTCTTCCTGTGTATTGACACTGGAGGGATAAGGTGTGCACTCTGAACATCCCTATAGAGTTACAATATGTAAGCAATAACTGTTTCTATCTCTCCAGGACCCCACAGTCAGGTATGCTCAGCTATTGGGATATTAAGATGCTATCCTGCAAAAGTGCAAATTGAAGGATGTTGTGCTTAACCCTGGAAAATGCCTTCCTTGGCCTGGGGAAAATAAGAATGTTGAAATATTTTGCAGGCTCCCAAGAACGCTTTACAACCCAAGTTCCATTGCTCTGTAAAAACCTGTTGACTTCCATCTGATGTTCTGTATCATTTAATCTTTGAGAGATTTTTTTAGTATTAAATATGTAGCTGGAAACCCATATAATGCTAGTTTTTTGTTTTACTGCAGGTTTCCAGTTGGAAAAGGAACGGTTTACAGAAACTAAACTCATTGGTTTTTCAGCCAATAGCTAATCATCAGCCTGAACTTCCATTTTGGGCATGCATGTCTCTGTGATACACTGGACAAAATCACACTACACATACGCAATGCACATACAATGCATATTCACATTATATTTACAGTATAAAAAATATAATGAGCCTTAAACTGAACAAAGGCATCTGTTGGCTAAACACATCCATATGAAGCCTTTGTCAAATGTTTATTGAAAATACATTTTATGGTAAGTTTTACAAAGTTTCCTGGATCCTTCTTTTAAAACTATATAAGGAGCTATATGCCAGATGAAGTCTTCCTTTAAAATGTCATATGGATATATCTGCTGACAAGATCTTTAAGAGGCACTTCAATTCTATAGGGCAAATTTACATTTTGTTGATTGGAGAATATTCTAAGAATATTTTAACACATATTTTATAGTGTGTATCAAGTTATGATTTTTGACAACAATATAGGATGAATTGAAGTATCCCCCACTGCCAACATTGTATAATTATTGGTATCAAATTAAACTTATGAGGAAACTAATGAATATTTAGCTATAGAACAATTAGAAGAAAAATTAAAAATTGGCAGTCATTAAACTAAATCCAGCATAGCTGCCAGCTCTTTCTCTTTCAACTGAAGGACAGCATGGAGATAATGTTAAAAATTAGAAAGAGGAGGATATGCTTTCTTTCAGAATCACATATTGATCAAGGATAAATAGTGGACATTGGGTCTGTAAATCCCTACATTTTTTTGGATGTCGAAAAATCCAAGACAGTATGAACAACGCAAATACGTCTTTTCTGGTAGTTCATGATATACAATTCTCAAAATTTGGGACCGAGTTTAAAGACACAGACAAGGATATCAAAAGATACAGTTTCAGATATAACAGGGCCAGTTACTGCTGATCAAAAGGAAGGGACAGGTATCATTTTTGTATTCAATACAATAATGAAGAAATCATACAGGTTTGCTCTTTTGTCTTTTCTATTTATTTAATGTTGAAATGCAAGAAATGTGCAAAAGCTGTTTAAGTAGCCTGTGTTATGACTGCAAAGTCTGCTATGAGATAGTTGTTATCAGTGACAAGTCAGAACTCATGATTATTGCACCTCTATTTAATGGACCAATTTGTGATGGGAGTCCAGAGAAACAGGGAATGTCTGTTAAATATCAAATTGCATCATTTTCAGCACTTTGCATCATTCCAAATTATGTAAACATACTCATGTAACATGCATTATTTGGGAATGACATCATTATGCCAGACTTGTAAATCTCCACAAATATCATGAAATTAATTT